TAAGTGTACAAATCAATCATTTCAAAAATTTACAAGGTTACACAAAAATCACAACTCAGTTTTAGAATATTTTCATCACCCTAGAAAAATCTCTTGTGCCCATTTGCAGACAGTCCATTTTCCTCTCCATTGCCATGCAACCATTAATCTAATATCTGCTTTACAGGTTTGCATTTTGAATTATTTCATATCAATGGACTCATATCATATATGGTATATTGCATCTGACATCTTTCACTCAGCATGTTTTTGAAGCTATCCATGTTGTAGCATGCATCAGTAATTTGTTCCTTTTTATTTTTGAATATACTCCATTGAATAATTTGTTTTATCCATTCACCAGTTGATGATCATTTGGATTGTTTTCACTTTTTGACTAATATGAATGTTTTGAACATTCATGTACAAGTCTTTGTGTGAACGTATGTTTTCATTTCTCTTGGGGTGTGTTATGGATTGAATGAACTGTGTCCCCCAAAAAGATATGTTGAAGTCCTAACTCTTGGTACCTGTGAACGTGACCTTGTTGGGAAACAGGGTCTTTGAAGATGTTATCAGTTAGCATGTCATAGTGGAGTAGGAATGGTCTTAATTTTAGGTCTTTAAATCCAGGTGCCTACTGTCTGTCTGTTCATAGGGGCTCATAGCGACCCTATGAGTCGGAATCAGCTCAACGGCAATGAGTTTTGGTTTGGTTATATTGTCTGTTCAGGAGCCTCGGTGGCACAGTGGTTAAGAGCTTGGTTGCTGACCAGAAGGTCAGCAGTTTGAATCTACCAGATGCTCCCTGGAAACCCTATGGGGCAGTTCTACTCTGTCCTATATGGTTGTTATGAGTTGGAATGAACTCAATGGCAATTTTTTTTTGTTTATTGTCTGTTCAAGAAGTCTCTGGGTGGTGCAACGGTTAAGCACTTGGCTAATAACCAAAAGGCTGGAATCTTTAAATCCACCCAGAGGCACCTCGGAGTAAAGCCCTGGCAATCTATTTCTGAAAGGTCACAGCCATTGAAAACTATGGAGCGCAGTTCTACTGTGAAATACATGGGGTCGCCATGAGTCAGAATCGTCTCAACAGCAATTGGTTTGGTTTAGTTTTATTGTCTGCTCATTTAGATGTGCTCAGGCACATTACCTCATTAATTTTCCACCCTAGTCTTAATCCAATGAGTGGGATCCTTATAAAAACAGAAGAGACACAGATGGACACACAGAGGGAAGAATGCCTATGATCCCACAGCATCACCAGAAGCTAGGAGAGGCATGGGACAATTTCTCCCTTAGAGCCCACAGAAGGAATCAACATGGCTAGCAGCCTGATTCTGGACTCCTAGCCTCCAGAATGGTGACACAATAAATTTCTGTTCTCACACAAAACCAGCCAAACCAAACTCATTGTTGTTGAGTCCATTTCGACTCATAGTGACTCTATAGGACAGAGTAGAACTGCCCCATAGGGTTTCCAAGGCTATAAATCTTTACAGAAGCAGACTGTCACATCTTTCTTCTGAGGAGCGGCTGGTGGGTTCGAACTGCCGACCTTTTGGTTAGCAGCTGAGTGCTTACCACTGTACCTACCAGGATTCCTTTCCTGTTCTCATAAGCCACCCAGATTGTGGTACTTTGTTACGGCAGCCCTAGGAAACTCATACCGGCTGGAATACTGAGGGGTGGAATTGCACAGTGGTTAAGAGCTACAGCTGCTAACCAAAAGGTTGGCAGTTGAATCCACCAGCCGCTCCTTGGAAACCCTATGGGGCAGTTCTACTCTGTCCTATAGGGTCTCTATGAGTCGGAATTGACTCGATGGCTATGAGTTTGGTTTGGATTTTTTATGGTAAACGTATGTTTAACTTTTTAACTGCTAAACTTTTTTCCAAAGTGACCACACCATTTTATATTTTCACAGTAATGTATTAATTAGGGTTCCAGTTTCTCCACATCCTTGCCAACACTTATTTTTATTATAGGCATTCTAGTGGGTGTGAAGTAGTATCTCATTTTGGTTTTAATTTTGAATTTCCCTAATGACTAATGATGTCGAGCATCTTTTCAAGTGCTAAGGCATTCATCTATCTTCTTTGCTGAAATCCTTTGCCCATTTTTAAATTGAGTTGTTTGCTTTGAGTTTTAAGAATTCTTCATATATCTTTGGTATAAGTCCTTATTTGCAAATATTTCTCCCAGTCTGTAGTCTGTCAATTCATTTTTTTAATGGTATCTTTTGGAGTGCACAAGTTTTAAATTTTGATAAAGTCCAACTTATTAATATATATTTTTTCTGGATTGTGCATTTGGTGTCATATCTAAGAACTCTTTTTCTAAACCAAAGTCGTGTAGGTTTACCCCTATATTTTCTTCTAGGAGTTTTATAGTTTTTGCTCTTACATTTAGGTCTACAATCCATTTTGCATTAATTTTTGTGTATAGTGGGAGGAAGCATCTAAAGTTTTTTTTTGTATGTGGATAGCCAAATGTTCCAGCAACATTTATTGAAAAGACCATCTTTTCTCCATTGAATTGCCTTTGCACCTTTCTTGAAAATCAATTGACCATAAATGTAAAGGTTTATTCTTCGACTCTGTATTCTGTTCCATTGGTCTATACGCCTGTCCTGATGTCAATACCACATTATCTTGATTCCTGTAGCTTTGTAGTAAGCTTTGAACTCAGGAAGTGCTCGTCATTTTCAGAATTGTTTTGGCTATTCTGGGTCCTTTGTATTTCCAAATAAATTTTAGGATCAGCTTGTCTATTTCTGCAAAAAAAAAACCTGCTGGGATTTTGATAGGAATTGCATTGAATTTGGAGATCAGTCTGGGGAGAATTGTCATCTTAACAACATTGAGTCTTCCAATCCATGAACACAGAATGTCCCTCCATTTATTTATACCTTCTTTAATTTCTCTGAACAATTTTTATAATTTTTCATTGTACAGTCTTGTACTTTTGTTAAATTTATTCCTAAGCATTTAATTCTTTTTGGTGCTATTGGGGATGGAATTGTTTCAATTTCATTTCTAGATTTTTCATTGTTAGTGCACAAAAATACAATGACTTTTTAATTGTTGTAGTTTAAGTGAAAGTTTACAGTTCGTTAGTCTCACATATAAAAATTTATACATACATTGTTGTGACTCTAATTGCTCTCCCTATACTGTGACAGCACACTCCTCCTTTCCACCCAATTTCCCATTTCCTTTCAATCAGCTGCTAACCCTCTCTGCCTTCTCATCTTACCTCTGGACAGAAGCTGCCCATTTAGTCTCATGTATCTACTTGAGCTAAGAAGCACACTCTTCACAAGTATCATTTTATGTCCCACAGTCCAGTCCAATCTTTATCTGAAGAGTTGACCTCAGGAATTGTTTTAGTTCTGGGTTGACAAAGAGTTCGGAGGCCATGCATTCTGGGGTTCCTCCAGTCTCAGTCAGACCATTAAGTCTGGTCTTTTTACTAGAATTTGAGGTCTGCACCCCGCCCTTCCCCCGTTCCATCAGGGACTGTCTGTTGCGTTCCCTGTCAGGGC